CCTCATCTACCTCGATCTTTAAGGGCAAGCACTTTTTTTAATCGCCGCCTTTGTTGGTGCAGTGCAGCACATTTGGCACATTATCACCACCTGTAGATGAGTGGAGTAGTGTTACATTATTGGCAAGAAAGTGTAAGCCCTCTATGACTTTGTAAGCTCTTTTAGACCAGTCAGATTTTCCAGAGTGTTAAAAAAAAAAAAATCTGCTTTCTTCTGGTAGGGACCCTCTCTGCCTCTGTAGGGTCTGTGGGGCAGAGTTACAAACCTCTGTCTTCTTCAGAAAACAGAAAGTCAGCTCTAATGTGGACTAATGGAGACGTATGCCAACACGGACCAAACGCTGGAATAGAGATAAATGGAGGAGAGGATAGAAAGTACAAAAACAACAGCAATCCCTGCTGTGATGAAACAATAAGACAGACAGTTCTGATCATTTGATGGGAATCTACGACCGGTACAACCTGTCTTTAAAGTGTACTGTACTTTAAATGTAAAGAGAAATCAGTTTCATATTATTTAAAGTTAATACACAAATAATCTCAGAACAGTAGTAATGATGGACCTTAAAACCTGGATGGACTGATTTACATTAAATCATACAATCATAATCTACCCCTGTCATTAGTGGATATGTGAAAGCCATCGTGACCCATTGAAGTTTGATAACCATGACCACAACACAAGATAACCGAACCAGAGAGTAGGGCTGAAAGATATTGGGGAAAAAAGTGACATTCATTCTGGTATATAGATCCCATCCATCCATTATCCATACCACTGATTTTACCTTTCGGGGTAGTGGGGGCTGGAACCGATAGTCGCCTGTCAATCACAGGGCTGAAGTCAACCAGCCACACTCACATTCACACCAATGGGCAATTAAGAGTCACCAGTTAACATAACGAGCATGTCTTCAATACTCTGGGAGGAAGCCGGAGGAAGCACCTGGAACCAGAGCATGCACAGAGAGAAAACTCCTCACAGAAAGGCCCTGTCCGACATGGATTCCAACCAGGAACCTTCTTGTTGTGAGGCAACAGCCGACCACCATGCAGCCCTGTGATTATAGAATCTCATATTGAAAAAAATACAGAAAGTTATTCCAATCAAATGCAGCAAATTTACACAGTCTTAAAATTTGTGCAAGTAACAATTAAATCTTAATATAATAGTTTAATTAATTCTTACTATTAGGCCTATATTTAGATAGTGTATATGTCTTTAGTTCTTTTTAAAGTATAAATGTAATTTTCTATCTAAATCAGGGGTTTTTATATACATAATTAATAAAAAGCAGTTTGTAAAAGTCTTAATTGGTTATCAGTTCATGATGCATGCTGTCCTCAGGCTGTGTGTGTGTCGGCCTGCCCGGCCATGTGTCTGCCTGACAGAGTGATTCATTCTAATGAATAATGTCGCCATTGTGGACAACAATTAAGAGCAGGTCTCATCCCACTCATTAGGCTGACTGAAGGTGGGCTTTCCTTCCCCCCTTGATTCTTAATTAACCGACCCCCCACTGGTTAAACAACATCCACACACACACACAGATGCACCTTTATTAGGGAAAATAGACAAACCATCTTACTTTTTCACAATTAACCCAACTGTAGCAGTCAGAGCGTCTGGTGCAGCCATCCAGCATGTCTAGTCTTTGTTTTCTATTTCACACTGTCTGGGATTCTGGGAAGTCCAATTTGAAAGCAAGAACCAGACCCACATTTCTTTGTGCATTTATCTTGCTTTCACCCCAAACACATAGAAAGCAACCTGAGCGATTTAAATGTAAACCTGGGTCAGAAGTGTTTTCCAAATCTTTGTTTCAGGGACTCTCGAACAAGGAAGTAGTGTGGCTGCTACACGTACAGTGAAAGTTACCACTGAGCACATCATGACTTACTGTAGTGGACTCAGCCTTGCTTCTTGTGATTACTTAAAGGTCTAAGATGCGACTTTCAGAGTGAATGTTCAGTAGATGTTGCACTTTAGCACCAGTCACTTAAACCAAAACAAAGCTGACCCTTGAGCGCACCCCATCCCCTCCTCCCCCATCCCTCTTAATGTTCCGACTGAGCGCAACCATTTTTCCAAAGTCGACTCGGTTCTTATTCCTTCGGACCGAAAAAAGAAGTCTATCTCTGGTTTTGAAATTCTGTTGATTCTCCTTGAATGAAACCCCGCCATTATGCCTCTGATAACAGCGACCCTGAGTGGGCGGGGCTGTCTCTCTTCCCCCTGTGTGTTGGCAGGGCTAACGGTTACACAGGGACGGGTTCATTTGAATAAAACATGTTTAGCCTCTGAGAGGAACATTAGTACACTGAAGGAAACGCCATTCGGTCCCATGTGGACACAGAGCTGAGAACAACAAACCCAGAGAGAGTTTGACTTCACTGTTTATTTAAACATAAATAATGACGCTCGCCCTCACACCTACATTTAGAGATAATCACTCTGACGGGCATGTCAACACTGTGCATGGCCTTGGCCACCTCTTAATGTAGATTTTGTGCAGTTCACTCACCTCTTGGACTAAATGTAACCATGTCTCTTTACAACGCACACACAAACGCACAGCAGAGCAGCGAGAGAGAGAGAGACTAGATATTTGAATCCGTCCACTGAAAAGAAAAGAGAGGTAGAGTGGCTGAATGAGTTGATCAGTGGGTTGTGTAGGAGTCTCTCGACAGAGGACAGAGATGAGGGTAATGAAGAGGCACACTAGAAGAGAGCTGTGACACACACACACACACACACACACTCACGGATGAAAACACTGCAAAGAAACAAGCATTACATTCATGTACTCGGATGAAAATCTGACCTTTTCTTCTAAGAAAAGTTCAGCCCGCTCAAATATTTGGAATATTTTCTCTTGAATTGTAAGACAAAAATCTCTTATTTTTATCTGCACTTTATTTCCCTCTGATCAATGTGTCCATACGTTCAGCTTTAAACCCAATCAATGCATATCTTGTTAATTAACAACAAAAGAATGTCACATGAACATACACGCAAATCCTGCGTTCGATGTGACGTGTGTTTTTCTTCAGTGCTGGCACCGTGACCTTGCCGTTGCACTGCTGCATGCTCCATGTTTATTTATTTATTGAAATAAAGGACTTGATTCAAGGTCTAGTTATTGAGAGCACAAGGCTGAGCATTATCATGCTGCCTGGCAAGGTTAGCGCTGCTTCATATTGCCATGAGTTCATCCAGCTGCTCTCAAACAGCACGGACTCCAACTGAGCTTCCACTGATCCAGGATTGATTCTGGCATGTTCATATATACTGAAAATGATCCTAATTGTTGTTTTGCATTGATGTTAATTGATTTATTCAGCATTTTATTAGTGGTATCAATGCCAAGTTAAGAAGCAGAACTAAGACTCTTTGCTCAGTGCAGCCGTTACTAAACCAAGCTGCCTTATCAAATATGGCAGTTTGGTTTGTCACCTAAATCAAAATATGACACTGACAGTGACTTTCTGGCATCATGTGAGAGTTTTTGATCCAGTAGATGTCGCCCTTGAGCACCAGCATGAAACCAAAACAAACTACTCTTTCGCAACACCTCCGCCACCCTGAATCTTCCGCTCTCTTCCAGCGACACACCTCAAACCCCTCTTATCTTTGAGTTATCAAATTGGAACGCACCATAATTAAGCACCATTAAGCGCAAGCGGCGGACGAAGTTGTCCTTGTCTCCAGCTGCATTGTTGTGTTAGCTCGCAGCTACACATTGCATGTAAATTTACACAGAATGACCATGATCTAAAAACGCTTATTCAATTTAGCAGTGAGTACAGTGTGTTATTCTTTTCTCCAGTCCCTCTGTTTAAGCTTTTATACACAAGGGGAGGAGTCAGGCCGTCAAGTCCATGTGAACACGGCTCTGACAACAACACAGCCAGCGGGACTTGAGCTTCTCACTCATTGTGGACAGTCCTGACTCAGAGACATTTACAGAGGACAAACTTGATTTCTGCTGTATTTATGTGTACAATTTTGTACATTCTTCCTTTAATAAACAGCTGAATTCAACCTTAAAAGGCAGAAACCTTGAAGTTGACAGAGAAGCTGTGTGTGATGAATCCGTCTGATAAAACATTACAGAGACAATGCCATAATCCTTTATTCCCATGTCTCTACTGTACATTAAAGCCCACGATGAGGCTCCATACAAAGGGACCTACATCAGTGAGCTGGTCTCACTCTGCAGTAATTAGCCAATTAAAATGACACATGGAGCCAATCAAGACCATTAAGAGCTGGATCAGAGGAGAACCTATAGGAACCAAATCTTCATGCTTAGACTATTGAGAAAGGGTCTTGGCAGGTAATTACGATGATGGTCTTCATTGTGAGCGGAAAAACAAATGTATTATCATTAACCCCGCCACCACATGCACACACGTACACGCACAAATACATTCTACCAGTCATTTCCTGTTTTACACTGAGCAGGCCTTTGCCTCCACTAAAAATACTCCAGCTCTGCTCTTTTTTTTTTTCTTGAGAAGGGGCGAGGAAAAGCGAGATGATGGGCATCATTAAGATCAGTGGTGCGTGCTGAGGCGTTACGCTGATATAGCATCCGTATGCACCGCTGTAATGTTCATTAACACTGCACAGCCCTATCCCCCAACGCACACACACACACACACACACACACACACACACACACACACACACACACACACACACACACACACACACACACACATGCATCTCTTTATTACCACAACAGAGCAAACACAGCATTAAACAGCATTAGGAGTAAATGGATATTTTATTAATCTCATTGTCGGGTGAAGAGGAGTCTGTTAATTCGGAGCACTGACTGCTTGACCTTTTTACTCGTGAGGAGGAGGAGGGAGTGTGTGCTTTTTTTCAAGTCTTGAGTTTTACTCAGATTTTAATTTTAGGGACATGATGCCATGCTTTCTAATTATTTCTTCCCCCTTTCTTCCCTTCCCCTCCCTCCTTGTCTTCCACAGCAATTCGGCAAGATTTTAGACGTGGAGATTATTTTTAACGAGCGAGGCTCCAAGGTAAGTGCTCTGTAACCTTACATTCATGAGCAAGTCCACAAAGAATACATGTGACTTCCAGCAGACTGTATACCCCCGTTGCCGTCCTTTTCTCCAGCAGCCCCTCGCTCCTCTTGCTGTCTCTGCAGATAATTATGTATATATCAGTGACACATGCCTGCAGGCAGCTTATACACCCTACCAGCCTGCCATACATTGTGACAAACAATAAATCGTCTCACTTATAATAACTCTGACTGTCAGATTCACACGGTCTAGTTAGCCTCCTGACCTACAGAAGAAATCTGTAAATTTGTATGTGAATATACTCGGCCCATCTCGGAGCAATGACAGAATTAAGTCTCTTAATTGACATGATGGAATTTGGTTCATGTTAAAATACTAATATAGGGTCCAATGGATATGGTTCATTTGAGCATTCAGGGGTGATTTAAAACTTCTCTTCTTCTCTGGAGTCTGGTCAAAACAAAAACAAACCTTTCCACACTGGAATCTAATGTTAGAAGGAGGACACACAGGCTGCTGCATTGTTGTAAGAGAGGCCAGCACTTCAACACAGCATGTTTCATTAATGTCTGATGATACAGTAAGGTCATTTTATATATTGATTCAATAGATATCTTCCATACTGTATTGGTCCTTTAAGGCAAAAGTTGATTGACAAATGTAAAAAAAAACAATCTCTCTCTCTTTGTCTTTTACTGTATGCCTTTGGCCAAAATAATGTTTACTCAGTGAGTAATGTAATATTCATGTATTGGTTATTTGGTGTTTATGTAAGTGTGTTTGTGGCTACAAGATGTTGTGATTAAGTATGATCGTTAAAAGGCAACAGAGAGATGGATTTATAGTTACCCAGATAGCATTTAGCTGCCTTGTCTTTAAGGAAATCCACCCACTGTTTCCAGCCCTAAGTACTGTTTCCACTTTAACTGGTCTTGTTTACATTCAGTGCTGGTCCGGTCAAGTCCCATCCCCTACAACACTAATTCTTTACACACACGATAAAGGAAAGAAAGCAGACTATCTGCATTAGAGGGAGGAGCAGTGAACGTTCCTATACATGGCAACAAAATGTCAGAAGTATTAATTTCGCTCCCACTTCCCATTTTTAAATGTATTTTTTATCTGCTCCACCTCTCAAGGGCAGCTCCATGTGTTATTTATGCCCAGAGGAAGGCAGTGAATCCTGTATATGCATACAAGATCACGGCACAGGCTGCCGTTCGCACATATTATCTGGCAAAGCAATTACAGGGCGACGACTTGCACAGGATACATAAGCTAAAGGGACTGGCTGTTCGTCTAAAAGGCGGGTCTGCCAGGCATATCAAATGGAGTGCACTCCCTGCCTCCACACCATAACTCAACAAGGGTGAAGCAGACCAGGAGCAGCCAGAGAGGAGGCCACACAGCAGTTTCTGAACAAGTCCGAGGGAATAGACTAAGTGTGAACATTTAGAGGAGTTTACTTAGATGATACAGTTTCCTTCTGTGTGCATGAAGCTGATTCTGGCTGGTACACAGAACTCGTGTAATAACAGTAGTCTCAGGTGAATCTGCATCTCTTTGATTTGGTGTCACACGGACACAAGAGACTTTCCCTTTTAATTTAAAGATACAAACAACAGATTAGGTATGCAATGGGGAAAGTTAACAGCTACAGCACTATCAGATGAGCCAGGAGTATGAGATATTACACAGAAGTCTTATACAACACACAAACATTAAAGCAACAATAGCTAACTTTTCCACCTTAAAGTAGTAGCTTCAAATTTCAATCTATTAGTTCAATTACTTTAAACAAAAAATGGAATCTCTCCCATGTCCACAGAGTGCCCTGGTCGCCAGTTTACTGCAGTATGTAACTTTGGCAGTGAGCCGCGTTTCTACAGTCAGAAGTGTGAATGACTTTACAGCACTAGTTCACACAAACGTTCAACTAAAAAGAGGCAATGTAGCCAGTCTATGTAATATTTGGTATAACGGCCGAGGCTAAGAGACGGGAGAGGACAGTGATAGATTTAGAAGAGAAATAGAAAGTGACTCAGCAAGAAGCCGGACTGCACTAAATATTGTGCAGGCTTTAACACGTTGGCAATAGCTTCGCAAAACAGTAGGCGGTTAGCCCGATGCTGAGCTGGCTAGGTTGCTGTTGGACGGTTGCAAACTGGTTACATTATTGTCCAGCAAGTAGGTATTACTATCTGTCTCACCACTAATTGGAAAGCAACTTTCTAACGTCAGAGTGTACATCACTTCAGAAAGTCATCTAACCCAAGTTGTGTCTCAGGCTTGCTACAAATAAATAAATAAATCCATCTTATCTTATGATAAAAGTCATCTCTTTCCTTGTCGATCTTCAAGTTAGCTTTTTAAGTTGGAACCTTGCAAACCTGTATCTCAATAGTAATTACTGTAATAAATTTCCCTCTCCAATGTAGCCATTAACACCTATAGACAGTATGGTACTAGTTAAATAAAAACACTTGTTCCATGTGCAAACAGTTTGCAAACAACGGGCTGTATGTTCTAGCAAAGTCATATTTTCGCAAAATCTGTAGATAGTACTGTACCTTGTCATTCGCCATGGTACTTCTCAGGTCTTTGGCGGCTTTACCGCCCTGTGCTTGTCAGAAAATGCACATTGTCGATGACAGGGAGGTGTTACCTACACCATGTGTTTTTCACAACAGTCCAGTTGCAGCAGAGACCAAAGCACACCAAACCGAATGCAGACATATTGTTGCTTTAATTACCTTGGTAGCCATCTGGTTAGTCAGAGTAGAGTTATTCCCTTCACTTCTCTTTAGACAAGCACAAAAACATTTTTTAATGACAACATTATCAAATTTTTGGTGGTAGTTGATGAAAGCAAAATCCACTTCCCTACAGGTGCTAGTCATTTACATCGAAATCCCAAAATATATTTGCAAATGCATCTGTGTGCATTTCATCTTTATGAGACGAATCTGGCTCCATAAAACATCATACCTAACCAAAACTGACCTAACCCTAAGCATGTAAATGATTGTCCCATTGTGCAATCTTTGTTGCATTTGCAGCCTGGCAGTTTTTAAAGCTACCTTTAATTTAGAATACTGAACAGAAGTTTCTTTTTAATATCCAATTAATTGACGGTGGAGCTCTAGACACTGCAGGAGTTCCTATATTTTTAATGTTACCTAAATAATGAACCAACCATCCATTTTTGAAAAGTTATTGATACAACCTTGCTTCAACTGACAAGCGAGTTGTGACAAATGAAAACTTATATTGTACCCAAACCAAAGCTGTAGAAATGTGTAGCCTTCTGTTTATCTTTGTACTTGTGCTACTTTACCTAATCAGTTTGCTGCAATAAAAAAGTTCCTTGGACGGTATTGCATTATCCACAGGACTCAACACAATAAAACAGTCTTATTACAAGTTCGTGAATTGAGAACTCCCTATTTAGATCACAGTAAGAACAACAACACTAAAACATTTAACCCAGAGCCCTTCACCAGGCTGTGATCAATGATGGCAGAGAGGATTTCTCAGCTTTTATTCTCCGCCTGCTTTAAGCTCATCGACTTAGACTGATGAGGCTTTGCAGTTGAGGGTTTGCAGGTGTGTTTTACTGCATATGGGCTATTTGAGTAAGCTGCCTCTTCCATGGCCCAAGTCTGAAACACAGGCAAGGTCTCATGAGCGAGCAGCGTCCTGGGGCCTCAGAGAGTCACGGCTGACTGATGCCATGGAGATTGTAATTGTATTGCACTTATCTGTTCTCCCACAGGGGCCTGAATGTACCAGCAGAGCAATGTCCTCCTACAGCACACACACATGTACATGTAGCAAACTCCAGTATGTATGTGGATGGATTTTATTCAATCCAATAATTCGGTCAGGTCCAGTTGTTTGTTTGAATACAGTTTTAGCAAAGTGTTCATCATCAATTTCTTCCAATGTAACATTCAGGTTGGAATACTGTTGTATTTTTTTATAATGCATTTCTGCTCTGTTCCAGGTATCCAAATGTTAATCTGACAAGTTCTTGTAATTTCATCACTTCCGACTCATTAGCAACTATAGAGACAACAGATAGTAAAATAATATGGAAGGATATCAGGCTATATTTCAAGTTAAAAAAATATTTTGGATAAGACAAGTGCTACCTTATGTTACACAAGCATTAACATTAGCATTCTCTGCACCCTCCATCTATCATTGTGCTACACAATCAAAAGGCAATATTAGTGGTTGCTACAATGTTTCTACTCTTTGATGTGTTTCAGTAGAAATTAGTTAAAATATTTTTTTAGAACTCAGTGGCATCAATTAGAAAACAGAATAGTAGCACGCAGCACCTATTCAACATCACTAGTTGAATGTTATTCTATATACGATAAAAGACCCAGTGGCAACCTCCAGGGTTGAAAAATTAAGCCAATGCATAAGTGCAAAAAACTGCAGTTCTTCTAGTGTCCACTTGAAGCTGTCTGCAAAGCCCCAGGAGACCAAATAACACTGTTATTAAAATGCTGATTTGGAACTGATCAGTTTACAGCCTGGTTCAAAACTCAGTTTAGTCTGAAAAGGTCATGTCTTAAGTGGCGCACAATGAACGAGGGGTTTATAACTTATTCCGTTTTTATTATTCTAAAGGTTATGGATGATAAAGGGTTTGACTTAGTGACAGGCTGCTACGTTGTAGCTGTTAGCCAGCCTCAGGGTTGAAAGTGAACGTGAGACAGTGTTTCCAATATGGTGACTACCGTTGCTTGGATTCAAAACTGTACTTTAGAAGCCACTGAATGATGTCACTGACGCTAAGTCCATGTTTCATAAAGTCTATGTATAGAATGCATGAATTAAATTTCCAGCTAATGCGAAAGATAGCGAGCTAACTGTAATTTTAGCTTGCAATTTGTTGAATGCTAACCTTAGCTGTTAGCGACCTTTCCATCAGTCATAGTTTTATAAGATTTGAAGATTTCCACTCTCCGTTGTATTATCAGTGGGTAATCGACTGAGTTCAACGACCATAACGATTCATCAGACTTGTCATTTTGAAAACCTGGAAGACAGCAGTGCGACATTATTACAGCATTAAAGCTTCCAACCATGCGTGTGACGATGTGGTAAATGTGGCAAAATTGTTGCTAAAAGGCCTGGAAGACGAATCACACAACACACTACATACACACACATTGACGAGGGGGCTATTAATTCTAATCTGTGCTCTTGTCTGTTGTTTGATGTTGTGTGTTCACAGCTTTCCTTACTTTAACTCCAGCTCTGTTTCTCATGTTTGTCTAACCAGCCTGATGTCTCTCTGGCTCCTGCTTCTAGATCTAGTCATGCAGCTGTTTCTCATCAGAGCTTTGTGTCTCTTTCTTCTCTCTCCTTCTGCTTCATTTGTTTCATTATGGCATTTCCGGACTCTCTCCTCCCTTTCCCTGCCGTCACTTTATTTCCAACCCTGGGCTCCCGGTCACTGCAGGGTTTTGGGTTTGTAACATTTGAAACGAGCGCAGATGCCGACCGTGCGCGGGAGAAACTAAATGGTACAATCGTAGAGGGACGCAAAATAGAGGTGCCTTCCTTTTCCTGTCCTCCCTCACCTCTGTCCCCCTCCTTCTCCTCCTCCCTGACTCTCTGTCCTTTCTCTGCCTGCCAGACATGTCCTGCATCCCCTCTCTTCCCCACTCTATCCCCTCTCTCCAACCTGCCTGCTGCACCTTGAACGCTGCATGCTGAAACCCTGATCCGTAAGTGTGTGTGACAAAGAGAAGCACAGACCTAAACAGTGTGTGCGCGATGCAGTCTTTTTCTTGTCAACAGATCTTGAATTGTTCTTTGCTTTTGATCGATCGTGCGCTGTATGTTTGTGTCTGTGGATTGTGCATGAAGTAACATCGACGATGCTTTTAATTAAAAACTCTTTGAATTAAATTATTCCTTACAGTCCCATTTAGATGTCACCATCATCTAGCATCAGAAGTCCATTTTTCCCATTTCTTTTCACAGAGTTAATCTAATATATGAATCTGTTCTAGATACTGATATTGTCCTAAGTTTTTTGGTAACATCACGTTTTCTCACTTGCTGCAGCCTAGTTTCTTTGAAATCCCGGCCACTTTTAGGTCAGCTTATATGAAACTACAAGAATCTATCCATCAAGTTCCTGAAAAACCATTAAGACCATTTTGCTTTCTGGCAACAATAGCGTGTTTGTTTTATGAGTACAGGTTGAATTGTCCAAGAACTAAAATATTCAGCATTAGATATAAAGACAAGGCTGCACAATACAAACTCTTGCTGTCATTAGCTTTTTTCAGACTTCCGTTACAAGCCGCCATATTTACGCCCCTGTGACGTCTCATCTCCAATCTGAATGTCACCGAGGCATAATGGGGGGACAAAGTGACCGTCTTCGGAGTTGGTAACTGAGGCGTTACAGAGGCGAGACATTTTTCAGCTGAGACAGCAGATGAGCGCAGCAATGTGTGTGTGTGCATGTCTGACTGTGTGTGTATGTGGAGCTCCACCTGCAACGCCAGAAGGCAATATGAATTCATAGACTGGAACAAAAATATGACACCGTCGCAGAATCAATAAGAATGTTCAAAGACTTGATGGCGGCTGAGCTTAGTTACGGCAGTCTGAAAAGGGCTTTTATGTTATTTTTGACTTCGTACAACAACCCTTAAGATGAGATCACTTTCAGCCACTTGGAACACAATGCTCTCCAAACTGGGTGAAGTCAGGGCTGGTTCAGATTGTAGTCACAGTAGTCTGGATAAGTCAGAGATATAACAGTGTGAAACGAGCTCATTGACATCATGTGTTACTTTTCAGGTTTTACAGAGTGCAGTGTTTTGTGCTTTTCTTCAACCTCACTTGTCAGACCGTTGACTAACTGCATGTCACCTCTTTGCTGAAACAATCCAGCAGCAGCATGGCATGGAGAGCCGATGTTATGTGAATTAACCAATATGCCCAGTTTTTTGCTTGAGGCCTTTGTGTGTCGGTGTGTGTCTTTGTGTGTGTATACCCTAATCCATCATATAATAACCTGTGTCTTTCTGCTGACAGGTCAACAATGCCACCGCCAGAGTAATGACCAACAAAAAGGTGGCGAACCCTTACACAAACGGTAAGACATAAGAATGATTCCCATCTCTTACAAACTGCGCGAGTCAGGTCCTGCTACATCACACACCAACGCTCCTTTTTGCTTATGGGAGGATGGAGCTGTAGCTTTGTGCATTTTGTGAAATGTGAATGAAATGAAAAAGGGAGAAGGTTCTAAAATATCAAAAGAAAAATGTTGTCTTCACATTTGATTATTGAAACCAATATTTGTCAAAGAGGCTGTTGCTTGGTTTGAAATACCATGCAAATAGCAAAGTGAAGTGTTTTCTCACTCGGCATGGAGAGGCGTTAAAAGGGTAAAAAGGGAAAAGGGCGTCAAGGAGACAGAGAGAGAGAGAGAGAGGAAGGCTGGAGAGGAAGGCTGGAGATGAAGCAGGGATTTGAAGGAGAAGGAGGAGGAGAATGTGGTAGATGGATGAGAGAGTGAATGGGTAAATGAATAGAGCCAATAAAAAGAGCCAGGAGTCATTCGTACAGAGAGATAGAGAGAGAGAGAGAGAGAGAGAGAGAGAGAAGAAGAGGGCCTTTAGGGTGTGTTTGAACGACAGAGACGCTTAAAAGTAAAAGAAGGAAAGAGAGGTAAGGGATGGATGAACAAGGAGGGAATTAAATGGCCAGACCTGGTCAGCACCTCTCCTCACAAAGGCACACACACACACACACACACACACACACACACACACACACACACACACACATACACACACACTGACGCACACACACACTTCCATACTGTTTGAGGGTGCAGAGAAAGAGAGAATGAGCCCTGAAGGGTTTTCCATTTGTCACTGTCATCAGGCCTAAAGCACAAACACACACAAACCTACAAATACACATACACACACACACACACACACACACACACACACACACACACACACACACACACACACATACATGTGAATTTCCTCATCTCTCAGCATTGGTTGAGCAAACTGTTGCCAAACACCAGAAATACAGCAGAATAAAAAGTGAAAATGAACAAGAGGAGTGCACACGCATTAAGATTTCTAAAGACTGCACATTTTACACGAGCATGTCCCATGATGAAGAAGAAGAAATGACTCCTCACTTGATTCCAAGACTGTAAAAAATGTATCTAAAAAAAACAGCGAAAAATGACAAGATGAACAAGATGACACGATAATCAAAGATTCAAGAGCTCCTCATCATCATCTGAAATCGAATCACATAGTAAGTTCATTCACATATATACAAACAATAAGAGCATGTGAGGATGAAAATATTTATGAAAATTCAACTAATTCTGTGGTAGATAAACAACACGATGAACAAAATACAAATATTTAGGCTTGGATGTGTGGAATAAAAGTCTTTCTCTTTTCACTGGTTCTCACTTTGACACAGTTGGTATCATACTGGTGTCATTTTGGCCGCATCCTTTAGCTTATTGTTTGAAGTTTCATTAAAGCCAGATGACCGGAGACTAATTGTAAGCAAGACACCATTGACCAATAGTCAGCGTTGACTCCTTCTAAGCAGTTGACTTCTCTTAAAGTGATGAGTATCCATGTCCTAACAGCATGCAACACGAGCGAGTGTCAGGGACAAATTGGCTTGACGCAGCACAAAAGCAGCGCCCCGTTTTTTTTACCCTGATACCATCTTTCTTTTGCTTTCCTGCCGCTTACACAGACACAGACAAGACGCTGGGAATGTCCAACTGTCCTGCTCGACAGCGCTGGTCAGCATTTTTTTTTTTTAAATGAGGTGGACTTAGTGGCGCATTAATAATATATAACATCTATATCCGTGATTTAAACTTGTGTCATCACTGGAGAAAAACTGTATTCTGCATCCTCGTCAGAGGCTCTTCAGTACAAACAAAGCACCAGACTTCTGCTTCTCCAGCTTCCAATCCAAAAGCAGAAGATGACGCAGTGTTTGCAAGGGGAAACTGAAATTCACAGAGCAGAGAAGTGACTGTTTTACGGATGCAGTGTCCGATGCAAAGCGATATCTGATGCTTGCGCTGGATAATACATTGATAAAATAACCTGAATGTCAAACTGCTAAGTTCCACCAATTGTATTATCATGTATTAGTAGCTGCTATTTTCAGAAACAGGCAGGTAATGAATGGATGTTTTCTGAAACAGCATTCAATCAGAAGTCATTAATGGTGACAAAGACTCCACTTACACACAAAAGGACATTTTCAATCAAGCTAGGCAGTACATGCAAACACTAAACATCTGGAGGCTCTTTCTCAGAGATATCCACACCTGACAGTTTCATGTGACACGATCTGTGCGATTTTAAATGAGTGTCTACCAGAGTGGATGCTGTTGGACTCTTAAATTAATACTGAGCAAACTCGAAGGTTTTGTAAAAAAAAAAAAAAAAGCGACAGAGAGACAACTTCACATTGTCTCTCACATTTTCTGACAAACACGTTGATCACGTTCAGTGTACACTTTTGGAGGAAATAATAAACACAGAGGGGATGATATTGCTGTCGCTTAAATTCCAATATAAAATAGATGATGTCTGTAAAAATGTTTGCTTTGGAACTCCAAGCAGATATCAGTTTATTTAGCAATGCTAACATGCACCCTCTTTATGTGCGCGTGTGTGTGTGTGTGTTTGTGTGTGTGTGTGTGTGTGTGTGTGTGTGTGCATGTGTGTGTCCTGTGCAGGCTGGAAGCTGAATCCAGTGGTTGGAGCCGTTTACGGTCCTGAGTTTTATGCAGGTAAAGAATCACACAGTAACATTTACATACAGTACCTTGGAATATTTATTCATGCTTCTTAGTCTTTATTTCCTCTTTTGTTTTTTTCATGCGCTTTGTGAAAGATGTGTTTCCAGCACCCGGCTTGGCGCAATGGAAAAACCCTTAGACAGATGCACAGAGTTATTTGGTATACATTTAAGTGTGTGTGTGTGTTGGGGTGTTATTGTTTGTGTGTGTGTGTTTGTGTGTGTGTGTGTGTGTGTGTGTGTGTGTGTGTGTGTGTGTGTGTGTGTGCATTCTGAAGTGGCAGCTTGGTTTCATTTGCGAGAAGTGCTGAGACTGTCCGCTCTCCTTAACTGCTCTCCTTTTTGCTCATTAGTCTGAAATCTGTTCATTCGCAGACAGCTTTACAGCACTCCTCTAAATAACCGTCCTGACACAGCGAGGCCATCCATCTCTTTTATTTCTCCCTCCCTCTCCCCTGCTTTTCCGCCTCCGTCCCTCCATCCCGCCATCTAGCCCTCAATCCACCAACCGCAAAGCTGCCTCAGATGACCCACTCCAAACACTAGTGTCACAGATTTCCCTGCTCCAATGCCTGTGGATCCTTCATCCATGTGAGAATGGATGTGGGTTCTTTATGTGTGAGTGTTTGTGTGTGTTTGGTGGTGTATGTTTTGTTGAGATGCTCATGCATAGGAATACGTCTTGCCTTTTATAAACATTATTATAACAGCACACCAATTTAACTAGTCTGTGGTTTTACATTGGTTCTCAATCCCCCTAAACTCCTTTAAAAACTCATTTGAAAGACATGATGTGCCTCCTATTATAGTCTTATTTGTACATCTGCATTGAATCTATACCATAGCTAATGCTATAACCCTGTACCTATATGCAAAAGTGTACATATGTATAGCCTGATGTGCGTCTTAGCATAGCATTGGCTTCAGGCATATTGTGAAACTGGCAATAAAAGTAGCTTAAAAATTCTGCATTTCTGGGGCACCGATAGCCTAGCGGTTGTGACGCGCTTCCCATGTATGGAGGCTGTGGTCCTCACCGCAGCAACTGTGGGTTTCGAGTCCGGCCTCGGCCCTTTGCTGCACGTCTTCGTCTACTCTCTACTCCCAACACTTCCTGTCTCTCTTCGGCTGTCCTATCCAATAATGGCAAAAAAAAAAAAATCGCCCAAAAACACCGACATAATAAAATCGCACTTCCAATTAGCATTAGTGTTGCTAAACTGCATAGACAAACCATTGCACAAGTATGTAGCGTAGCCACAGCTGGATTCGATAAATTTGGGACGGATAGATTTCTGGAAAACAGGTTTATTAGCCATGCCAGTTTTCTATCTCCTCCTCATGATGCAAATATGTTGTGTATCTCAGATATTCTGACATTCATTCACACATAGATACACACTCCACTTGCACAGGTGTGCTTGTTACCTTCTCTCTCCACTTCTTTTACCTGCACTGTATGACAAATGAAGAGGTCCCACCTGTAAGTGAAAGTGTGTGGGTTTGGGATTTGTTCTGGAATAATTATGAGTGCATTTAATCTCGTTTGAGGCGGGAGTAAAGCAGGATGTAAAGCGAGATGTAAAGGCGATTAATCACTCTTTATCAGACCGGCTTTCCCAGCACCCATCAGCTGAATCGGCCTCCATAAATCCTGGCCGGCTGACAGTGCACTCCATCTCCATTGCCAGGCTCGGCTACAGGTTTATTGTGCGCAAATCCCATTCAGAAGAATGACGGATGACCTCGACATGCATACACACCCATGTTCACACACACTTGTGAATACCCCTATGTAGAGACACATGGAAGAATGTGAGCGCAGATGTACAATCTCTTTGTTGCAGTCACACTCAGGTATGAAACCAAACAACCAGAGAATCAAAGAAACACACACACAGACACACACACAGATACTATCAATTCCCTCATAAAGGATTAAGCCCCCTAACTGTCAGGCCTGTGGTCTGTTGAAAAACCAAAGACTGTCCAAATCTGTGCTGCCGAATACTTTTTTCATCACTGTCCCAACAAATCATATCAACCATTCAAAGCAACAATATGTAAATGGTAAATGGACTTGATCTTGTATAGCGCTTTTCTAGTCTTCAGACTAGTCAAAGCGCATTTTCACCACCTGTGACACCTACACATTCACACACTGATGACAGATGACATCAGAAGTAACTAATCACATTCATACACATTCATACGCCGCAGACGAAGCAATGTGGGGTTAAGTGTCTTGCCCAAGGACACATCAGACATGCTGATCCAGGATCTGGGGATTGAACCCTCGACCTTCCAATTGAGAGATGATGACTCTACCAACTGAGCCACAGCCAAAAACCAAGACCAAATGTCGCAATTTGTTTTTGTGCGCTTTGGCGCCCACTTAAGGTCTTCGCTTGCAACTGCACTGTCGTAAGACACACTGCGATGCCTATACCCCTGTTAGACAATGTGCATCTCTTGACAAGGACAGAAACAACTTGTTTTGGTATTAGGTGGATTCATTTATTCATTTGTATTCCATCCTGAGACACTTTCTGCACGCGGTAAAGCTGCTAAATATGAGACAACTATGACAACGATAATGATAGAGTCTAATGTTGCGTCAGTAGGGAAACACTACAGTAGGGTGTTCTTTGATGGAAAACAACCAATAGCATTCCTTTTTAGAGAGGAGCACCTGTCCACTTTCTTCAGTGAGTGTGCACTTTCACTGGATCTAGCCAATCACTATTCAGGTATCTATAGATATTAGGTATGAACCAAAATAACCAGGCTATCAATTGCAATAAACTAGTCTTAGGGTTGCTGAATTAGATGTGTTGCTGAAGTTTAAAATCTTGAAAGCTTTTGTTTTTCAAATGGAGCTTGGATCAACCATTTCTGAAGCAATCTCAGGAGGGCAGGAGTACAATGCTGATAATGTTTCACTTCACTGCTTTGAGGGATTTTCCCATTTCAATTGAAAAAATAACAAGAAAATAAATTAAAAAGCATGTACAGGTATGTGAATGACACAGATTCCATGAGTGGCATAGAGGTCTATTCACCTCTTTGCATTGCTTTTTGGGGTAAACAGTAAGGAAATGATTAACTCTAATGTTTTTTTGATCCATTTTGGTAATAGCCTGAGTCTATGTTTAGTGTGTTTGCATTGCAGCGTCACCACACTGTGCGGGTGTTTGTGTGCATGTGTGTGCGTATGCATGTATGTACAGTACAGTGTGTGTGTGTGTGTGTGTGTGTGTGTGTGTGTGTGTGTGTGTGTGTGTGTGTGTTTGGGTGGGTAAAATAGGCTGCATGGGCATGAAGGACAATGAGGGAAATGTAATACTGATTGATTGACTGTGTCCTAGACTGAGTATATGCAAAGCAGGACAAATGTGTGTGTGTATGTGTGTGTGTGTGTGTGTGTCTGAGTGTGTGTGTGTGTGTGTGTGTGTGTGTGTGTGTGTGTGTGTCTGTGTCTGTGTTTGCATCTAATGTGAGTTGGTATATGCAGAGCTTGGCAGAGCAGCTCTCCAGAACACAACAAATAAGATTAAAATGCAAAATGCAGGCAGGAAAGTAACAAGACAAGCGACTTGGGCCTGTTTAACATATGCTGAAAAATTTGCAAGTTGGAAGGGCGACATCAGATCAACTTTGGACTTTGTCATATTTGCACGCCATTATTGGTCCAAGGCCGTCGGAGATCACTGTCAGCAACTGAACCCAGTGAATCAGTCTAGGTTTTAAAAGAAAGCTATAATTTGTGGGTTAAGTACTTCATGTTATATATTTTTTTAATTTCCATTATTTGGTCTACAATTTAACAATGCGTTCAGCAGACGCTTTTATCCAAAGGGACGTACATCATAGAGTAAGACAACACAAGCAAGGATCAAGAGAGGAGGAAATAACGTCAGTTAGTGCTAACAAACAGCTTTAGGTCACATCGGACACACAGGTACTGACAGGAAGTGACCAGAGGCAGAGCACAACATTGACAGCTGTTCTTGTGAGTTCTAATCACCAGCATCATCATCATCAGCAATATCATTAAGGTCATAGGTTTTCATGAAAGAGCTGGGTCTTTAGCTTTTTCTTAAAGGTACAAAGGGACTCTGCAGATCGAATGGAGTTCGGAAGTTCATTCCACCACCGGGGGGGCGACAGAGGAGAAGAGTCTAGTTAGAGACTTAGGGCCTTGTTGTGAAGGTTGGATCAGACGCCTTTCATTGGCAGAGCGTAGTGGGCGGGCGGGAGTGTAGACCTGGATTATAGAGTTTAGGTAAGGAGGAGCCGTTTTTGTTGCTGTTCTGTAAGCGAGCAGCAGAGTTTTAAATTTGATGCGAGCAGTAACTGGGAGCCAGTGGAGGGAGATGAACAGCAGAGTGACATGTGCTCCTTTGGGTAGGGTGCATTTTGTATCATCTGCAATGATAGTCTCCATCTAACACAATGTATGTGTAACACAAAGACACCAATGCAGGCAGCAGTGGACCAGCAACTCCCTAGTTTTCCTGTGATAACGAGTTCAATTTGAATTGATCTTGAGTAATCAGCCGAAATCAACTCGTTATCATAGGACAACCTGAACAGTGATCCTAAAATAACGAGAGCAATAAGTTGGGATGTTGAGAAAACAACCCAAATTTGATCTTTATCACAGGAAAACGGCCGACGAAGCAGCAGATGCAATTGGAAGTTAATTGTCTTGCCCAAGGACACATCGGACATGTAGCTGCAGGAGCTGGGAATCGAAGCCCCAACCTTCCAATTGAGCGACGACCGACTCTACCACTGAACCACAGCCGCTCCAAGAACAGGCCCCTTTTTGTAGACATAGGCTACATTTATCAGGCGCATTCAGGGGTTAAGTTGCATCCATTAGAGCCTGTTTTACATGCTGACCACATCTACTTTGCTTCTAAAAATGTCTCGAAGACCGCAGTAACCCTTTAGCATAAGTCACTAAAATAAATCAAAAACTTTCCTGCACAGCCTACTACTGGCAGATAAATGTGCATCTATGTTTGTGTATACATCCTCTGTACGCTACTTTCTGCATGTGTGTGTATCTGAAGATGTTGCTGTTTGTTTGTTTTATGAGCCTGCTAGCTGTCAGGCTGAGGTCCTGCCATGATTCATGGGTTATTACTGCACCGCTGTAGCATGCACAAGCCATAGCTCATCATCAGATTGCATTCATATACATCACGGCAACAACAACAGGCACATACACATGTCCTCATGCTCCCTCATATACATACACACACTTACAGTACACCTCCTGACACACACACACCCCCACACACACACACACACAGGGGAATGAATATATTGATGTCTGATATTAAGAAAGGAAGGATGGTAGGGGCAACTTGGGGAAATTGATCTTTTGCTCAGTATATATCACCGATGGACAATGTGCTGGCTGTGTAGCATATTAATGCTGTTTTCTGACTAGTTAGAGGGGGCAGAGCAGACAGCAGAGAGGAGAGGATCTCCATCAAAGTACAGAGAGACGGATGGAGGAGAGAGAGTGAGAGAAAGAGAGGGAGGGAGCCTGAGTGTTTCTGTCTGTGAGCACTCATAGTGGAGCATGTTGTATTTAGAAGACAGTAAAACAAAACACACTGAGAGCCTGTCAGGGCCTCTCATCAGTCTGAGAATGCCGCAAAGGGGATGCAGTATTTGAAGTTTTACTTTTTTCATGACATCTGTCTTTTTATAGTCACAGCTCACAGGTCATCAGCGGAAAGCATCTTTACCGTGCTTAAATGTCTGTCATGTCAAATGTTCTGGTTGTGCACACATTGCTAGAAATCTACCAGTCAAGTAAAAAACAATCATCATCAATGTCTGACGATATCATAAGATCAATAGTGGGAGATCCCCCTCCTCCCTAGAGTAGATGCTCACAGGGGTTGCCATGTCATGGACAACGGAAGCTTCAGTGTTTAGCCGGCTCTGCATTGGTCCTGAAACCTTTCTGCGTTCTAACCTCCTGCCATCTTTCTAAAGCATCTCCAATATTTATCTGGTTTGACCACGTTTCTGGTCATGGACGTTATTAGAAAAAGGCCAACGCCAAGGTCAGGAACAGCTGTTGGTTTGCCGTGATAACTGGTCTCGTATCTGGCACACCAAGGAGCGTCCAAAACAGCTGTTGTGGGGGCGCCTTAAAACCGCTAACTCCTGCTGGTCAAAACAAATTCAGACCATTCTGGCCCAGAACCTGATGGACATGCACTAATGGAGAGATGGCAGAGTAAGGGGCACTCTATGAGCTGCTGTGTGTGTGTGTGTGTAGGGGGGGGGATCTTGCTCAATAACACTTCGGCAGTGCTCTGGGAGTGAACTAGCACCTCTCCAGCTACCAGACTAATTTCCAGCGCCGGGACTTGAACTGGCGACCCTCTGGTTCCCAACCAAAGTCCCTACAGAAAGAGCTTCTGACGCCCTTTAAGTACAATTGCTATTAATGCAACTGATTACAAATTAGGGCTTGTTGCACAATGGTAGCAGAAACATTGAATTCTTAATTACTTGTTGCTGCGACACTTATGTTACTCTGACTCGAAGGCATACCAGCACAGTACCATGACTTCGATGTACTACTTCAAAGGGCTTCACTGGGGTTAAAGGTCTCATAATGGTAACTGCACCCACCGCAAGCTACATCTTACAAACCAAGTCGCGGCTTGTTCAGTTCATTTACTTTCAAACAGCACAGAAAACAACTCTGAAGACTCATAATTTAGTAATCCATCACAGTGATGGATTACACACCTTCACTGTGAACAGGAACACTTACGTTTTGCATAATTGCTACAGAATATTAATATCAGACTCCTTTATTTTGAAGGGGAAAAAAAAGTTTATGTCTCCATCTACAGAAGGCCAAAAGACTTCTGAACATTTCTTAATAATGATTTTTTTTTTTTTTTATCAAATAACTATTTTTACAACAATTTTGTGAAAGCTAAATCTGCCCTGTCTGTGTAACACAGTCTGTGGAGTACTGCATTAAATAATTAATAATACAAAAAAAAATCTTGACCTCATCATGCCTGTAACCAGACATTATTGTTACTTGTTGTCAATTGAAAATCAATGTGTTGAAAGACGGCCAGCCTCCACATACGTTCTGCGTATGCTTGAGAAGACCATTTTCACACCGCTGTCGGGCACCACTCGTATCATAGGTAGCTTAAATAACTTCAATTATTTATAAGAAGGAACTAACTACTAACTACTATAAGAAGTGATATTAGGCATGTGACTCTGTTAAACGCTTTTACTTTGAAGTTTTGTCTCACAATAGACTCATTCTCTGGACACCATGCAAGTCTTTTGTATGTTTGACCCGATTTAGATATATAATCACAAGAAGTCTCGCCCAGAGAGAGAGAAAAAAAATCAGAGAACAATGGCAGATCAAGTAAAATCTTTAGAGTGAAAAAAGTGCTTGTACGTCTCTTAATTGTCTGTTTGCTTCTGTTCAGAGTGATCGCTGAAGTCACTGTAGATAAGTCTCTAACAGTTACAGAACAGAGTAAACGGGAAATGTTTTCAGCCCCCCCTTGTGGTTTTTATGCTGCTGGCATTAAATATTTGTTCAAATGAAGTGCATAAGTACATCTCACAAAGCCTGCGCTGACTTGCACAGAAAAAAGGCTAATCTGTGTCTACTGTATGTATGAGACTTCAAAACACATCATCATGACTGTTTCACTTTACTGCTATGAGATCAGGTTAGTTTGGATCATGACGTTAACTAAGAAGCTGTTTTATAAAGCTTTTATATCAAATGAAGCATCGATTTTAAGATTTACTTTTTTTTTAAATCATGCAATGGGATAGTTGTGGTAGTAAGAGAGGTGGAGCACATCAACAGATGTGTATTTTACAATGTTTCAAAGTGGGTTCTCTGCCAAGAAAAATATGAAACATTTTGACTTTTTTTACACCTCTCTCTCTCTCTCTCTCTCTCTCTCTCTCTCTCTCTCTCTCTCTCTCAGTGACTGGGTTTCCATACCCCAGTACAGGAGCAGCTGTGGCCTACAGAGGGGCCCATTTGAGAGGGAGGGGTCGCGCCGTCTACAACACGTTCCGTGCCGCACCTCCTCCTCCACCTATCCCTGCCTATGGAGCGTGAGTGTGCACACACACACACCCGCACAAACAAACACCACATAATCAAATAAACACTGTATGACAGGTCTGCGAGACTGAAAACATGCTACTGCACAAATCTAATTCATAGAGGCACTCAAACACAGAAAGTGACAGACACACACACACACACACATGAAAACACACACACACAGACGCACAAACATATGCATACCCACACATACACACACGCGCAGTAACTGGAGAATGGGGAGTGGAAAACAAAAAGGCCGACTTCTAATAGAGCAGAAAATTGCTCTTTGATTCCTGAGTGGCCGAATTTGTCTCTCTTTTTTCTAATGTGTCATTCTTTATTCGGCTGTGAATGGACTGCTATGACCTGCCCTGCACACTCCAGTGCACCCGCTTCAGAAAGAGCAGGAGACCCAGTGATTGTGAGGGAGGGGGGAGGGGGAGAGAAGGAGAATATATGTCTGAGAGAGAGAATGGGCTGGGGTTAAAAGAGAGAATGAAAAACAGAGAAATGCAGATGGAGACTGAGAGAGTAGAGTGCAGTTTGAGCACAATGAATGACTTCGTTGATCGATGATGTATGAAGTAAAGTGAATACTTTAATGAAGTTTTAAGAGTTTATCATTTAAAACTTTAAAGATTATTTTTCAGGGTTTTTTCCCTTTATTTGATAGGACAGTGGATAGAGTCAGAAATCAGGCAGAGTGAGTGCGGTATGACTTGCAGGAAAAGCAGCCACAGGCCGGATTTGAACCCGAGCCGCCCACCTAGAGGAATATAGACTCCGTACCTGGGGTCCATCATAACCGCTAGGCCATCCGACCCCCAAAACTTAAAAGGTTCTTATTGTTTTATACCTGAAAATACATTTTGGAAATTGAAAGAAAGTACATTTTTCCTATTGAAATGATTTACTGATCTTTGGTTGACTCTCTGGTCGCAGCTGCTTATGAGTTTTGTATGAACTTTGAACCCATGTAACTGAAAGGGTCTTCATGATGTCATCAACTGCTCCTTGCCACTGTGACTTTGATTAATGAAGTTAAGTGCTCATGATAGATTCATGTTGGGTCTTTGTAGATAATATAACAAAGAATGCAGTATATTACCTTCTCTTTTTGTAAAGTGTCTTGAGAACATTTCTAGAAATAAAGATGGATTGAATCCACATAGAATTTTTTTTTTTTTTTTGCACAAACATCCTTTTTTAATTTTTTTTAAGAGGAGGGAACGTTTGCAGCAGCAGCAGGCGGCCGCCCTGAGATAAAACGCAGGGCCCAGCGTCTTTTTTTCCAAGCACTCCACCTTTTTTTTTTGCATCTGCTCCGAGCGTGTCGAGATAAAAAACTTTCAACTCTTCAGAAAGGCGCTGTTGACGTCACCAACACACTTCCATGTGTACAATATTCCCCGTATTTTTGTGTCCTACTGAACGTGTCTTGTACCCACAGCCTCTTTTCTCCGTGTCTGCTCGGGTAAAAACGATCTTGAATAAAGAACAAACAGCAAAAATTCAACGGAGCAGTGTCGGTCATACAGCGGCCGTTGGTAAAAGTCTGTTGTCATAGAGACAGGACGGACATGCACGATATGCTTCCCAGCGCACAAACACTCCATGCAAGCGCTCCGAAGGGCACAGCCCAGCGCTTTTTTGCCCTGAAAAAAACACTAGGTGGACACGGGGCCTTATTGATTTACATGCAGTGTGTTGAGGCACAAACGGTTTTGCAGCATAGACAACTTTTTGGAATCCATCATGAAGCACTGTGCTCCATCTTGTATCGGGGATTAAAACAAAAAAAACAACCGCATCATCTTAAACTCAAGTAATTCCACCCACACAAAGTCAGAACAGACAGAACATTCATAAGGACTTTTTATTTCTTTGGTTAAAGCGTTCAATTTAACTTCAGTGTCATTAAAGTGCTTCATGTTTGTTTCCTGTGTCAACAGTGTGGTCTACCAGGATGGATTTTATGGAGCAGAAATATATGTAAGTATAGAACTGTGCTATGTCAGCATGATCTAACTATAACTATGTTCTGTGACTGAGGGTGGTTTCACATTTGGGGACCAGGGTCTGGTTCATCTGATCAGTTTGAACCCAAATCTACCGTACTCAGGTGCAATGCCTGAATCTGCTTGAAGAGGTCTCGGGCAGGATTTATGTATACTCCAGTACGGTCCATGGGAAATGTGAATCCAACCGTGCTCAAACAAGGAAGTGGACCCCTATATGACGTGATTCTAAACGGTTCCTGGTACTTAAAAAAAACATGTGGATGTAGGAAGAGGGTCGTTGTTGGCACAACCGTTCCTAAAGAGAAAGCACCTTGAGTGTCTTTGACAATTACTCCAATGCTTCTCTCGTTGTCAGTTGTTTTATTTCTTCTGTATTAATGTTGACTATCTTGTGTTCCTAAAGCGGTGTACATTCCTCCGTCTCTCCACAGGGAGGATATGCAGCTTACAGATATGCCCAGCCAGCCGGTACCACCGCAGCTGCATACAGTGACAGGTATGTTAGCTGCTTTTTTGACTTTTTGCAAATAAGTCTAGAACCTCACACTCACATGTCCAAGGAGTCTTTTCAACCAACGCCGACCAAATAAACTCCAGACAGACCTATAAGCAATCAGAGCAGCAAAACTTGTGATATAGCAGCATGCTGCTAAGTTAGGTAGCTAGCCGACTTGTCTAGTTTACATGGCGTCTGGTTCCACAGAATAGTTTGACGTGACATGAATTATAAGTGAACATTTACCATTTGCAGGTAATGTGGATTACTTATTCAAAACTGACACGACAGCTGATTTCAGAATGGTCAGGAATATCTAAATATGTGAAAGCAGCGACATGTGCGAAGAGAAGCAGTTTGCTCAACAGCCCAGTTAGGGGTCCATTTGACCCCCTGTGTTTTTTAGACGGGGTCTTTTTGATTCTCTTGCACATGTTCAGTGGGCGCAAAGGCCATGAAAATCCTTCTGTGAATCAGACCCTCAGTGTATTCAGAGAACAAAATGATCATATAGAGGATAAACATGAACACTTTAGACTTGTAACGTATTCATTTAATAAACAACATTTGACAGAAAAGGACTTAAAAAAAGGACAGACAATCTAACATCATGCCACGGGCTGTGGGAGTGTTTTATGAACACAGAGGTGGAAAAGAGCAGTTTAATCCACTCCATCTCATTCCCCTCTGAGCTCCCTGTCACTCCCTCACCTCTGATCCCTGAACCTCTGGGGCCTCTGTACCTTACCTCATCTGCCCCCGTCTGCCCTGGAACGCTGCTCTGCTCCCCGTGTGTCTGTCCTCGGGCCTCTGGGAGTCTGCGGTTTGCCCCTGAGTCTTCCAAGTCAAAAAGTGATATGTGTTTATAGAAAAACGTGTGTGTGAGACTGTTGCGCGCACCTGCTACGACTGCTGTCGAGATGTGTGTGTAAGATGGTGCTTGGGGAGCTAATCTTAGGGAGATTGAGCATCTCAGGCCGATAAGAAACAGCCACAGCAGGAGCCTGTAGGCCGCCGATAATGTAAGATTTATCAGAGGCAAGGAGCGAGCGGCGTGCGCGGGTGAATTATGAACAGAGCAGAGGAGGAGAGCGGAGCAGGTGAGGGGGCACAAGACTTATTTCATTCCCCTTCTTTTTTTCTCTTCTCCCCCGTTTCTCCAAGCCGCGGCTGATGTGCGGTATATCCCTCGGTGCGCTCTCCTCCTGTCATCTTTTACACTGTGTCTCTCTCATTCTATTTTTTAAGCCTCCTTGATTTAAAGGGAAGCCTGGGCAGTGAGGTGCAGTTGAGAGGAGATGGGGAGGAGAGGCGGAGGAGTTTTATTTATGGTGGGATAAGAGAGGTCTTACACAGAGTGAGGGGGCTGGGGACGGAGACACTCTGCCTCTGTTCTGTCTGTGTAGTGTTCACACACACACACACACACACACACACACACACACACACACACACACACAGAACCAAACAGTCGAACACACACTAGACTAACTCTGTCTACACATGGTAGAGCTACGATGAAGAAAAATGCGACCAGGACTGACTGTCTAATGGACTTAAGAATTCTTAGAGAGAAGAATTTATGAATTATAATTCAAACCACAGTAATAATAATAAGGATAATTTTTGGGGCTTTTTTCCCTTTATTAGCTGAGGAGAGAGTGTAGGATGACATGCAGCAAAGGGCTGAGGTCAGATTCAAACCCACGGCTGCTGAGATGAGGACTATAGCCTCCATACATGGAGTGTTTCATAACCGCTAGGCTATCCGAAGCCCCAATCCAACCAATGCAATACAGTTTTTGTTGTTTTCATCATCTGTCATTTCTTTAATATATACGTTTTTATATTATCTCTAAAGTCTAACTTCAGCATGCCCTCAAGTTTTCATCTACACTATGAAAAGTCGTCTTAAATAAGCTTGTAGCTCCGGTTCTCACTGTAAAGCTCGGAAACAGACAACAACACTTTGGATTACTGTAGATTTTAGAACATATTTGTTTTTTGTACGAGTTCTCAGAAGATCTTAAAGAACTTTATTTTTATTTTGCTGCGTATAATACACATCATATTTGAAAAGACAGAGTCATGCCGAGGATATTCATGTGTCACATTTATAGATTCAGATTTAACAGCGCAGGGGGAGATAGTACAACACAGAAAGATGCAGACTGAGCTCCAGCCAAGATCAGAGTGAGCTAGGTCGTGTTCAGGGCTGCTTTGGCCGATGCAACAAAACTCTTCCACTGAATCTGCTGTGTTGCTGTCTTGAGCCAATCAAAAGTAGAATACTTGTGAGGGAGCCTTTTTCCAAACGTCACACTCTGAGTGGAGCTCAAACGATGTAATTATGTTAAACATCTGACAACACATCAGGTTGCAATTACTGTTAACATTGAATTTGAGAAAATGAAATTTCCCATATCCCCTGTTGACCAGCAACTGAAGAGACAATATATACTGTAAAATCCAGAATATAAATTGCACCGGCATATAAACGCAGTCTGTTTTTTAGGTTTCCCAAAGAGAAAAAAGGACCACACTGTTCTCTTGCGTGAAGATTTCTAATTTGTTCAGCAAAGTTGACAATGTGCAGTTTCTGCTCAGCTGTGTTGCTCTTTCAGTTCCGTCCACTTTGTGGAGTTTGCTTTCTTACTAGCTGCAGTTTGGTAGTTGAGCTCTCATCCTTGGGTGAAAGTTGTGAAGTACTGACCCACAGAACCGCGAGTTGTGCTGCCCACCTCCACTGGTCACTCGTTAACTTTAATATAGGATGCTTTCAGTCAAAGAGCGCTCCACAAGGTTTATTTACTGAACAGTATACAACCGTTTCTTTAAATGCGTGATTACGACCTCATGAGGGAGAAAAGATGTTAAAATTTAGCGCAGCCCAGCCAGCCTGGTTCGTGTCGCACATGTTTCCCAGCACAGCATGCAATACACAATGGATGGGGGAATTTTCCATCGCGTCAGGTGGCGTGCAGTGGGGGGATGGTGGCGGCTTCACTAATGCTAAAGATGGCGCGTGTGTCAGCATTTTATATGGTTTGGATGGTTTGATCCCCAGCTCCTGCAGCTACATGTCTGATGTGTCCTTGGGCAAGACACTTAACCCCAAATTGCTCCCGCTGCTTCGGCGGCGGCCAATGAATGTGATTAGTTACTTCTGATGGTCACTTTAAATCAGTGTGTGAATGGGTGTGAATGGGCAGGTGTGACGGTGTAAAAGCTCTTTTATTGGTTTCAAGACCTAGAATGAAGCAGTACAACGTTGTAACAGCATTTAAGAGTCCCACACTGGGCATGACATAAGAAGAAAATTGTCACAGATCAGTGAAAAGAAATGATATGCTCAGCCAGAGAAACTCACCCTACCTTTTCCTCCCCTCCTACATGAATACTTCAATACTATCCTTTCCTTAGGTCTCCCTCTGTGACGCATTGTCTAACACAGAAGTGTACTGCTTATCTTTGCCCTCCAGACCTTTGCTGGCTTCCCTCTACTTTTTAGAGCAGAATAAACAAACAAGACAGGGAGAGAGGAGTATAAATAAAGCGGTCTGGGGGCACGGGGGGGGGAGAGGAATGGGTGGTGGAATAAGAAAAGGGAGGAGCATTCAGGGTTGGGATTAGTTCCAAGCCAATGCTGGTGAAAAGACTGGAAATAAGCCTCAGGAGACAGACAGAGAGAGATACAGGCGAGATGGCAGGAAGGAGGGACATACTGTAGAGAGGGAGGTGAAGAAGAAGACTGCTTAGAAAGAGGGGTGGGAAACCATCCGTGATATATAGTTTAAATTCTTTCCTCATCTCTTTTTTTTTATACCTATATACCAAAACCTATATTTTCATTTCTCTGTTCCTTATTCATCAATGTGAACCCCCAAAAGAATAATTTTATTAATTGTCCTCTTTCCTCACAATCTGATTTTTTTACCACTCTTCAGCCATCTACCCCTCTCATCACTCTGCCCATTCCTTTTTCTAATCTTTTATCGCAATCCTTCCCCATCATCCGGGAAGATAAAACACTCGTTCTCTTTTTCTAATAAATTGAAACAGGTAAAACAAATCATTGCAATCACACACTCTCACCTTTACAACGTACATTTATAGCCAGACATCGATTGCATTTTCATCCGATAGGCCTGTCCTTTGCGTGAGTGAGAGGGGGAAATGATTATAGATCTCTCCTCCAGACCCCAGTTAAAATCGACGACCCAATGCCTTATGTGTCTCATGCATACTCATTGTGGTTGGTCGGCCCTCCCTATCCATTATCAAATCCATTCAATCAAAGCCAACAGGCACAAGGTTTATGTCTGCTGGTTGGAGTTTGGAAGGGGGGAAACAATTAACAGTATTTCCCAACTGATTAAATCCCCCTTTGAATTGTACTGGTTCAAAGAGTTTTATGTTTGAGAAGTAAGTCAAAATGTCATCCAGATTGTGAATCTACTACCTCATATTAAAAAATGCCTTAAAGAGCCGTCACAACCTCTTAGGAGTTCCATAGCATGTAGTAAATAGGGGATAATGCCCAATGAGGAGTCCATTATCCGCTATGAATGTATGATGTGGAGGCTAAACTGGAGGATGGTGGCTTCCCTGAAGTGGTCAATTGCTTAAAAAAAAGCATGTCCCAAATCCTTTGATTTGAGCAGTCCCTGAAGAGATCATTGACATGCCATAGGTTTTACAGCAATGGAAACATTATTTTCCTCTCCATCACGATCTCAGATAATATTTGGTCGCAAAAGAAAGTTTGGAAAGATTTGGTCAAATCTGAGCCAGAAAGGCTAAGCCTGTTTGAATTGAAACCACTTAAGACCAGGTTTTTGGGTTGCACAATTGATTTTGAAGTCAGCCTGAATATCAGCGAAATCAGATGTTGTTTTCCATTCAGTGTACAGTGGGGCAAGAGGGCTGATCAAGGCCTGATCAGCTGCTTCCACACAGTTGGATTCATTTATGGCATGCTCGATTCTCCCAATTCAGGGCTTGTATCGTTGATTACACCTGTGAAATCTGGTAGAGAGCATCTGAGAGATCCATGGCAACAGCAGGCATGTCTTTTTGGTGCATCTTCCTCCTTTTACCATGAAGGATACGAACAAGAGAAACGTTGGAAGAAAATAGTTGCAGACCTCCAGCACAAGAGAACATTTGTTGTGATTTAGCTTGCTAGCTAGCTTTTGGTTGTTGGTCACGCTGAGTGTGCGTCAGACAGAGAATTTTAATACACTTAGATCTGACTTCTGTGGGAGTTTTCAAAGGAAAGTTTATTGACAGTTGTAAATGCTATGTCTTGACATAACGTGTTCAATTGGTAAGCTTTGGTTGTGCGAAAACAGTTTGCAAGTACAGTGTGAGTTGACATGCTATGGTTACTTATCTTTCCATCTGCAGCGCATTAATTTAGACCAGTGAACAGACTGTTTAACTGGAACAACTTCCATAGGTGTCCATATATTCAAAGTTAATGGACACCCTTCAGCCAATCAGAATTGAGTATTCACATGTAACCTGATTTAGAGAGTTGAGTAGTGAATGGGTTGTTTAACAGTTGCTTATGAGGTTGATTATATCTGCAAGTTTAGAGCAGCATTCTATTTCTACCAGCTTGTAAATAAAATGTAAGACTCTAAATGTAATACTGATGCTGATACTGAACTTACTTTGGAGTTTAATTACTTGAATTACCAAGAACTGAACTTAGAACTGTATTATTACCTGTGATTGATTGTGGATGAGTGGCTGAAAGCTCGATCTTGTTTTATAAGCCTTATTATTTCATTAGCTGTGAATCCTCCATGGTGGATATGTCTGTATAAAAATATGTTGAATGAAACTACCACAAACAAATCGACACGCAGCAAACATAAGACAGGTTGTATTCCAGTGAAGGATTGGTTTCTTGGGGCAAAATCTAATATTGCTGCCATGTTTGCTAGTGTGTACCCATGGGGCACTTAAAGGTAACAAGATATACACACGATTTAAAGATAGTGGTAGTAGCAGGGGGGTCATTAGGAGTCCACAGCTCAAATTTGCCCCTTGGTCCCCTTGCAAGTTGATCCAGCACAGCCTTGATGTTATGGCCTAATGGATCAAGAGACCAGGGCATTGGTGGAAATCATTGCCTCTAAGAAAGGGGCATAGCCTCTTGGTTCAAAGACAATTTTAAAATGTCTTTGAACTGTATTCTTCTAATAACCAGCATGGTAAACTACAGGGGTTTGTAAAAGATGTCTGATGATACATGTGTTGATAAGTATACAACCCCACTTCTTAATTAATTGATACATTGTATTATATCATTTGCTGGGATTAAATAATCTGCATTATGGTATAATGTCCACTTTGTGAATTATGGTCCCATTTACAGTACATGGACAACAAGACCATGACCTTTTTTTAGGGCATAGTTAACTTGTAATTGGCAGGTCACTGCCCTGGCAACCTGAAGAAGGCCTTGTTCTGTGTTTGATTTTACTGAAACACTCTCAGTGGTCAGCTGTTTATTTTTTCAGTAATTGTAATTGAAAAATGTAAAATTCAGTATAAATCCGGCTTTTTCTCTGGCCAATAACAGCATTTAAAACGTTTATCACAGTTTCCACCACATGCAGATGTAGAGGTGGTGAAAGCCAAAATTCCAAATGTTGTTCCACAACAATGGGTGACATTACAGTGGCTACACCCAAAGAAGTGATGTTGGCAGAACACATTTGGCAGGATGGCTGTGGCTCATTTGGTAGAGTCGGTCGTCCCTCAACTGGAAGGTTGGGGGTTGATTCCCAGCTCCTGCAGCCACATGTCCGACGTGTCTTTGGGCAAGACTCTTAACCCCAAGTTGCTCCTGCTGTTTCTTCCACAGCGTATTCATGTGTATACTGATGGACACTTAACATAGCATCCTCTACCATCAGTGTGAGAATGGGTAGATGTGGCCTGCGGTGTAAAAGCACTTTGAGTAGTCAGAAGACTAGAAAAGCGATGTACAAGCTCAAGTCCATTTACAGTTACAGATTCTGAATAATATTCTTAGATAATTAGAGATAATTAAGTTAGTAATCTATTAACAATACTGGGGTCCTGTCATGCAAATGTTGGCTCTGCTGCTGCAAAATATCCAGCTTTTGTCTTGATCCATTGGTCCGATAAACATCAGTTCAGCTTCTCTACAACATATATTGTTTTATTGTATAGTCATAGTAAACACTGTATCTGTCTGCTTTTTCTTCCATAGTTATGGCAGAGTCTATGCAACAGCAGACCCATATCACCATACGATTGGTCCTGCAGCCACATACAGTGTGGGCACTATGGTAAGTTGTTTCTTAACTTCTGATCGTCTGAATACTGTGCCAAACTGAGTCTGGTTCAGAATCACAATGTTGTCTCCAATAAGAAAATGTATGAACCAGGATGTTTAAAAATGAAAAGAGACCCATTTTGTATCTGAGAAGTTTAACTGAACGATTTCTAAAACTACTTAAAGTTAACGAATGAATCAAATCAAGTGTATCGCTTGCTTGCTTTATTAATAGTCTTATCTTCAACAAAGAGCCTATATTTACTCTTCAACTTGTTGTTCCTGTGAGTTGTGTTTTCCTCTGAGGGAAGCATTTTAATGTTTAATGTGAATCTTTGCCACTTCAGTAAATGAAAAAGGGACATTGCCTTATTCTCAAACTCCCCATTCAATTTCATTGGCCTGAAGCTACTTGCTCAAAATCCAATCGAGACTGAGATTTCCTCCCCACAGGAAACAAGTCTCTTCAAATTTTTCAAGGGGAGATAGTCGAATGGTTAATGTTTGTTTTTAGCTAGCTTTGCAGCTAACATCAAAGATGAAAAAAAAAAATCTTTCTAAAGAAAGAAACTGAGCGCCCCAGACAAACGGGGGAACAGAGAAAGTACAATTTGTTTTCTTTCGTGGGTGTGGGTAGGGACTTCCTCCAAAGATTAACGACCATCTAGTACATGCTTCGACGTGCCATGGGAGATTAAAGTAGAAGGAGCGAAAGATAGACCGCAAAAGGAGGAGGAGGAGGAGTGGGAGAATTAAAGTTATTGGTAGCAAAACCGGCTGCAGTCAAGCTGCTGCGTGGTGCAGTATCTTGGACTCCAGACAGCTGAGTGTTGATGCTGAGTGCTGACGTGTTTGTGGTGATGGAAATGGAAAGCCCTACCACCATGTGTCCCCCGAACACCCCCCTCTTCCTGCCTCCCTAGTGCAGCTGCTAGCTAAAAGCCTTCATTAATTGCGACCATTTTTTCCTCTTCATTTACTTAATTAAAAACAGTGGCCTGTGTTTTCCTCCTGATTATTCTACACTTTCTTCTCTTTTTTCCTCAAATTACTCCTTCCTTTTTCTGCATCCTCCCACATCACAAAACCCTCACTTCAGTTTTTAACACAACAGCACCACTTACTCAATTTCAATCACACTGTATTATTTCTAACAACGTGGACTCAAACAAAGTAGTCACATCTATTTAATAATGACGGTTCTTAACTTTTTCTTTAAAAAAAGCGAAAAGTGTGGATGATTTTTGAGAAACATTTCTGTCAGATCTTGTGAGTTCAGGCCTAACTGTGGCTGTAAATATGATCAGATATTCTAAATTAGACGGATGGATAGCATCACTGTTAAAAAACATTTAATGTGGCCTTTTTTTAAAGTATGAAGGATTATTTCATAAAGTAATTTATGTCAGATGGGAATTTATGGTCATTATGACTTATTTAAACATGTAAAGAGAGTTGCTGTTACAACACAGCCCAAACAATTGATGTAGGATTTTGGTGTGGCTCCATGGGTGTCGTATCAAATTTAAATTTAAACCCAGGCCGCGCACTTGCAGGACTATGGTTACGTACATGGGGAACGACCTAACAGCTAGGCCATCAGCGCCTAGCGGTTAGGCAGCTCTTGACAGGGATCTGTGTGTTAATGACACAGATTATTTGACAGTTTTTTTCAGTTTTTTTCTATGGACTGAAAAATGTCAGTCCATAGATCTGTTTAGGAACATCAGGCTTCATGATCAGAACGTCAATCCTGCAGTCTTTAATGGCCCACTTTTGTCTGTCGCCAAATGTTTCAAAGAGCTAATTAAGGGGAATGAGGCTACATGTGAACTTGCACATTAACCGCTAAAATCATATTATTACTAAAAATACTAACCTGTTAAGGTTGATTAATCATAAGCATGATTTTGAAAGCCCTAATTTAAAGTCGAACTTTGATCTTTCTCCTGAACAAGTCATTTTGGTGCCAAAACCTAACCAGCTGCAACTTTAATGCAAAGTTCACAACATGCTAGTTATCATTGAATGTCCAAACATCCTAAAACATGGAACACTTCTCAGAAAGCTTTAATGAGCCGGGGAGAAAGTCTCGCTTTTTATTCTCACTACATCTATGACAGAGCCCTGCACATGCAAAACTGATGCTAGAGCTGCTGTTCCAAAGAGTTTAGTGTTAGCAAGTGTTGCTAATGAACATGCAGTTATCACACACAAAACCACATTTTAAAAACTTCACAAATGAACTAACTTCTGCACAAATACACTTGACATCAAACAAGACAAGTGGAAAAAGGGAGGAATGTATCTTTGGAGGAAAAAGAAAAGTTATCTTTTTTTAAACAATTACCAACATACATGGAATACTGATTGGACTTTTTTTTTCATCTTTGATGTTGCAGGCTAGCCTTTACAGAGGAGGGTGCAGTCGCTTCACTCCCTACTAGAAAAGAGGGAGACTCCCCCAACCCCCCTTTGCTTCCCACAAAAAAAGACTTACACAAAAAAAAAATGAAACCACTAAATAACCATCTTAACCCTCTTCATGGAAAACTTAAAATAAAAATCTTCCTGTTGGCAAATGTGACTTTGACACACAAGAACCATTCTCAAGTCTTCCCAACTTACAGAGTGTAACATTTGTCATTTACTGATGTATTGTACTTCCTTTGAAAAAAAAACAAGATTTTGTTACTCTGTGTTGACTTGAATGTATCTGCATTGAAATGTCTGTTGTGGAAAAAAAGGGAAACAGCGGGGAAACTTTAAGTCCCCCAATCTTTCCCTCTCTAAGATGTTAAGGTGGCTCTAAGGTTTCCATTACTCAGCTCCTTTGTGGTGGCCTCTGTGCTTCGTATGTCCCAGATTTTATTTTGAAGATTGTTTTCCACTGTATGCATAAGAGGTGTTCATTTTGTGCAACTCTGATTGGAGAAACTCATTTTTAGTAAACTTTAAGGATACTCTCAGTAAATAAAAACAGCCCTTGAACCATTTGGAGCACTGGCTCCATTTTTAAAGGAAGCCAACAACTGGAGCTGAGTTTTGGACTGACTTAACGGGACTCCAAGCTGTTCAACTCCAAACGAGGTGACACTTGAAACAAAATGGCTTCCAGTAAGTGATGCATTATGAAACGGAAATTTGTGAGAGGAAAAGGAGTGATGTATTACGGAATCTGAATGCAGGAGGAAGTGATGTCTAGCAGGGGTGTGGAGCAAGAGCTATGGCATCCATTGCAAATTGGGCAGCAGTGTGTTCGAGTCCATTGATCGTTGGCGTGGTGCCAGAGGCAGGAGGTATCCCATTACTGCTGAATGGCTTTAAAGGAGAAAACGACATTATTTCCACACAACACTTCACACTGTTTCATGACTCCCCATGCCCGGCATACACAAGGCAATAATCCTGCTTTTTCTATGAATGCATACAGAGGAAAACTGACAAATATGTTTGACTACTTAGCGAACAGATGGGCGAACATGTTCCTAAAATTCTACTTTAATACTTACATCTCAGCACCATGTTCATGTTAAAGCTGCATTAATCGTATTTTGGGCATTAATCATCATGTTCAACGAGCCGTGTAGTCGTTTCTTTTAATCTCTCACACTTGGTGCTTGGGAGGTACTGTAGTGGGTTCATTATTCTGATTTTGCAGGAAGGTTTAGTCAAGAAAGTTTGATGATAGTGGAGATGATTTAACCATATCACAGCTGATTCTACCAACCAAAACAAGAGTTAGAATGAGCAGTGTTAGGTGATAATTCTCTTTGATCTCAACCCCATTTTGACTGTTTCAAAAGAGTCAGATTCAGAAGAACAAAATTATTATTATTCATTCAATCAAGTTAACTTTTTTCACTGAGCAGATGTAAAAAAAAAAAAAAAAAGGTTAATCTTTCTTTCTGAGTTAATTAAACTGGCTGAGACTGCTCACTAGTATACTGACCTGAAGTTTTATTTTGGCTGACCCATTAACATCATGTCATTATTAGACAATGAGCCTAAGCCGCAACCTGTTGGAAAAAGTAACCAATGAGGGTCCTGATATTTTATGACAACGTGATGCTGATGTGCCAAAAGCATATAGTTTCATATCTGCATCAGTGAAGCCCCAACACAACTAATCGGATATTTTTTTGTCAAACTATTGTTTTACAGACTGCAATAGGAAGTTTTCCTTGTTTGTGAAACCTTTAAGTAAAGCTTCACAAGATGCTCCACGTTTGTCATTTTCGAACAGGCGGCTGCTATAACTAAAACTAAAGACAAAAATGAAGACTTTATTCTCAAATACTCCTTCGTACTATTTCACACGTTTCACAGGATATTTTTTTTTTTTTTACCTTTTTTTTCCAGTATAGATTGGCTGAAACAGAAATGGGTGTAGATCAGGGTAGAAAACTCAAGTGTAGCTTTGTTTGATTCATCTCTTGTCTGCAGGCATCTGTCTTTGCTCTCAGGAAACATGTTGGAGAGAGAAACAAACCGTGTGTGATGTCCTCTTTCACAAAACGACCTCAGACCATCTTATTGGATGTCAAGTTAAAAAAAAGGAAATATAGGGTGCTCAATGCAAACACAAGATCTCTCACTTGCTTTAGTTTGATGACTTCTCGGTGGCATGAGTTGTCACCCAGAGCTCTAATTCAAGACCAATAAAAAAGAAAGATGAACAGAGAGGCGTAGTGAAGCCAGTGCAGGGATGGATGTTCAGTCATTGTAGTTAAAAGTCTTTTGTATCCGCTGCAGCCTGAACTAGTTTTTCAGTCTGTTTTCCTCTCTCTCTCTCTCTCCCGTGGGAGATTGACTCTCAAGGTGACTTCCACCCCCAAGGTATAGTGTGTTTTAAGAGGTTGTCAGGCTGGAGTGCAGAGGCAGCTTGATAAGTCCTGGAGGGTCATTCAGAGAACAGAAAGGCTGCTCAACCTAATAACCTCCACTCTCCATCAAAACCCCAGATAACCATTATTTAGAGAAGAGTTTTTCCACCTTGGTTCAGTGCCATGG